ACGTTTTCACTACAGATTCAACACTATCTAATCCTAACACCAGAACCCATGACCCAGGGTCGTGAATTTCACAGATTTGGAAGAGGCACCCTCATCACCATAACTATGCACTTAGTTGAAGATTTTCAAATAATAACACATTTTCACTAATTCACTATATTATATAATACAATTAATGCATTTTCACTATATCATCAATAGAGCCCAACCATAACACCAGAACATCTGACCAGGGAGCCATGAAACTCACAATTCTTGAAGAAGCACCCTTACTCATAATAGCTATAACCTTAGTTTCTTTACTTTTTAACCAGAAGTAGAGAAGAATATTTTCAAAGAAATTATGCGTTTTCACTACATAATCAATAGAGCCACCCCTCCCCCTTCACCAGAATCCCTCACCCTTGGGCCATGAATTTCACAATTTTGGAAGAGGCGCCATTGCATATCATAACCATACACTTGGATTGTTTAAATAATACCTAGGAACAGAGAAGAAGATTTCAAAGAATTAATGCAGTTTCACTATATAATCAATAGATCCCACCCTAACACCAGAGCCCCTGACCCAAGGGCCATGAATTTAACAATTTTGGAAGAGGCACCCTTGCTCCTTGCTCATCATAACTATGCACCTAGTTAGTTAAATACCCATGGGCAGAGAAGATTTTCAAAGAATTAATGCATTTTCACTATATAATCAATAGAGCCCCACCCTAATACCAGAACCCCTGACCCAGGGGTCATGAAATTCACAATTTTGGAAGAGGCACCCTTGCTCATCGAAACTATGTACTTATTTTGTTTAATACCCAGAAGCAGAGATTTTCAATCAGTTAATGGATTTCACTATATAATCAACAGAGCACCGCCTTAACACCAAAACCCCTGAACCAGAGGCCATAAAATTCACATTTTTGGTAGAGGCACCCTTTCTTATCAAAACTATGTACCTAGTTAGTTTTTTTAATACCCAGGAGCCGAGATTTCCAAACAATTTATGCATTTCGCTATATAACAAATGGAGCCCTACCCTAACACCAGAACCCCTGACCCAGGGGCCGTGAACTTCACGTTTTTTTATCTATGAAGAGACACCTTTGCTCATCATAATTATGTTCGTAGTTCGTTTAATTCCCAGGAGCAGAGAGGGTATTTTTTGAAGAATTAATGCTTTTTCACTATATGATCTATATAGCCCTGCCCTAGCATCAGAATCTTTGGCCCTGGGGCTAGGAATTTCACAGTTTTTGTAGAGGACTCAATGTTTTCTTACAATCATTGCAACAGTTTGACTGCTTGATGTCCAGGAGTAAAGAAGACTTTTAAAGAATGCATTAATTTTGGTGGTTTTAGCCCCACCACTCAGGTCCCAGGCGACAGGGACCATGAATTTCACGTTTTTGTTCCCCCTCACCCATAGATGCTATATGCCAAAATTGGTTCTGCGGTTCCAGAGAAGTTGAAAATGTTTAATTGTTAACGCACATCGCACGACGACGGACGAATACGGAAAGCAATAGGTCACCTGAGTGACTCGGGTAACCTAAAAATACCTTGCAGCCAATGAAGTAACAGCTGGAATCAAAGTACAATAATTGTTCTTTCATGAAAACGTACCTCGCTCATTAATGAAGTGTTTAAGTTGGGTTACATTATCTCGATTTCCAATGGTGCATGTCGATGACATAAGCGCCTCCGTTTAAATCATTAAGTAAAATATGTACCCCTTTACTATAAAATCATCAAAGCCTGCAATTCCAGCCGATTTGGCTAATGTTATCTCGGCCGAAAGTAGTCAGGTTTTGACTTGTACATGTCTAACATATTACAAAAAAGAATAACTGATCGTCTATGAATGAACACTGTTTATTAATATACAATTCATACCTTGTTAAAACAAGAGTAGTTTTAGACTTCAGGCACTTCCGGTCGAGATCAAGAAACGAAAATGGCGTCGAGTTGCAGGCCTTGTTGTGCAGAGCAGAGCGACACTTACCCGGCATCTGTCTGTCCCTCTATCTGTCTGTCACACATATCTCCAGAACTCAAAGAGATATGGATTTGATATTTTCCACATATATTGCTTTGCACTATGGCTTTTCTAAAATACCATGGTTACCGACCTCGTAAACTTTGAACTTGACCCCTTTAACCAACTTTTAAAAATAGTTTACAGTGTCGATATAAAGCATATTTTTGACATTTAAGAAGTAAGTCAATGCTGTTTAGCATGTGTATAAAACTAATTATGTAAAATCTCTTAATTTTGTTAATTATACATTTACTGGAATGTACAAGCATGCAGCAGAATAAACAATTTTAGATGAAATTCACAATGGTAATTACATACTGTATGTATCTTATATGTTAATCTTCTTCTCGATTTACAAGTGCTCTTGGTGTCATTTCTAAAAGTAATGGCAAAATAAGGCTAATTCATGATGCAAGCCGCCTGGCATAAAATTGTTTAAACAATCTGTATGATGATACCTCTTGTGTTTTTATGGATTTAAGAGAACTGCTTCCTAGCGAAGGTTGGTCAGAGAAATGAATGTCGAATTCAAGCAATTATGCATAATGGGTTACAGTGGTTTTTTTGAGGGAGATACCCATCACCTTTTTTGAAGTAGGGGTAGCTAAGAGCCTCTCTATTTTACAAACAGTGTCTTCTTGTGTGTGTCATATAATGAAAACTGTTTATGGAGCTACAGTTAAGTGTGTCACCATGCCGGCAGCTCATCTTCCTTGGCATATTCATTGATACCTTTGTAATGACACTATTCCTCCCTATAGAAAAAATGCTCGAGTTTTCTAAACTTTTCTTTAAATTTGCTACTTAGAGTGCGCGCACGAAAACATCAGATGGAATCTCTTATTGACAAATTCAGCTGGGCCTGTGAGATGATACAGGAGACGGAACATTCTTTCATAGAATGTTTGATGTCAACAATCAGCTCATAAATTGCAAAGTTCGTATGTCCACTGAATTCAAAAAGGCCCTTCTCTGGTGGATATCCTTTATTGCACAGTGAGTTTGACCTGTTAGAAATATTTTGACTGACGCATGTGATACCTGAGGGGGTGGTTTCTATGATGGTGATTATTTCTATTGATTGATTGTTTATTGCTATAGTCCCATTCAAGAAATTTTCACTCATATAGAGACGTCACCATATACCGGTGAAGGGCTTCAAATTTTGACCTTTACTCGGCACTCAGCTAGGGCCATTGGCATTCAGGGATCATTATCGTGCCAACACCTCGGTTTTCAAGGTCTCATCCGAAGGACCCGCAACTTTCACTTCAAAGTGCCGAGCACATGGCGAAGGAACAGTTGCTACCCATTTTTTATCGACTTCGGTCAGTCGCGGCCGAGATTCGAACTCACAACCTCCCAATCACGGAGCGAGCGCTCTACCGATTGAGCTACCGTGAACGGTCTATTTCTATTGCAAGGCCGTAACTACCATTGAGGCAAGTGAGGCAAATGCCTCACTAAAATTTTAGAGTTTTCTGAAAATAGCTTTACTTTGATCTGAAATTATTTGCGTCTTTGTACTAAATTCATTATAATACTTTCAACTTTACTTTCAATTTCTAAAAATCGATCATCTCACCAGGTGCTTCATTATAGTTTAGGAATCATGTTAAAATAGTTCAAAACGTGAAGAATTTCAAAGATTAAGTCTTTAATGTACTAAAACCCAGGTTCTGAGACCCCCCCCCCCCCCGAGAACGCCTATCAGGGCATTACCCTCGACCCGCTTGGGACTCGGGTGGCCCCCAGAATCCTTGCCTCACTGCAAATTTGAGCCTAGTTACGGCCTTGTATTGAACTGGAAAGCAGAGTTCTCGAAATTAGAAATAGACACATCAATGTAAAAGAAACAATTAGCATTGCCCTAGCTTTAGAACGCTTCGCTCCATGTCTTACCATTAAAGTGTGATAGACATAAGTATACACCGACAACATAGCAAGCTCGAAGCTACGTTAACAATGCCTCCAAAAGTAATACACTGATTATGAATCTTCTACGTGGATTGCCTGGACCAAGATCATTGTAACTTTTTACTTTGACTGCTGTTACAACACTTTAGCTGTTACAATATCACACATAGACATTGCATCCGGACAAATTTTTCAGACGAGTTTCGCGCCATACACTGTTCGCGCCAGTTTCAATAGATATCTCTTGTGCAGAATAGTCGTTCGTTTCCTAAATGACCGTGTGGATTTATCTATAGGCGCTGTATATCAATTTGCTCTAAATCTTACATCCAAAATGAGCCAAGTAAAATTTCATTGCTTTTACTTACACATCAATTATCAAAAGTAAATTAATTGGAAAAATTGTATGGAATATTTAATGGCGGGAGTTTAAACTGAAAGATTATGTGAGGAAATTAGCCTACACAGAACCCCCGTTATATAATCAATAAAAATCACCGTGCAGAAGAGTCCAATTACCAAGGGAGATTGAACATTGTTCAACTCCCCAAAATGCATGATGTGCATATTTAGATATATTTTAAATCTACAGAATCTTGTGAGGACCACTCTAGTGTCTTTTCTTACTGCATGAAATGACAAATTATATTAATTTGTGAAGACAGTGCAGGTGATTACTTTTAATTACAACTTATTAATTTATTATTACATGTAATTAATTTGTTCTGAGTGACGAGGAATTAATTTGTTATTATAAGTTACTGTAAAATCCGCCAATGAGGATTGTATCGTAGGAAACACTTTTCGTATGTTGTTTGGGTTTGTATTGAAAAAACTGAATATCCGAGTTTTTGATTGGTTTAAGATGGATGCACTGTAGGAAAAATTTATGTTTTGTTACATGATGAAAAATTGCTTGAATTATGTCTTTCCACAAAGGACGTGAGTAAATTTAAAAAAAGTAATTACGATAAAAAAAAAAAAAAAAACAACACCCATTAACATAAAAAGCTCCACTGGAGAGGCGGGTTCTTTTGATCGGGAGTATTTAAATAAGCAAACTGCGCACATTCAACATAAAAAATATTGCGTTTGGAAAACTTATCGAACGGGCAATACAATAGCACAGGCAAAAATGGTAAGTTGGGTTGCATTTCTAAGTTTACACCATATTTTTCTTCATAAATTTGTTGAAGATATATTTGCATGTAGGTATATTTAGTTTTTGACTTTTCTGAATTCCAAATGAAAGTGAAGTACATTAATCAGTAAAATTTCTCTTTTTATCAGAATAAACGTGGACTGGGGCTCTTTTTGATCGTCTTACTTTTAGTTTGCCATGTTCATGATTCGGAGGCAGGCTGGTGGTGGAGGAGAAGAAGGGGAAAAAGAAAACTTGTGAGTGTGAACCAGGACGGGGACGAATTAAAGCTACTGGAAAAATTGGAAACTATTTCTGGAGAGAATGAAAATGAGGTTCTGCAAAGGAAGGAAAAGAAAAAATAAAGGACGGAGTGTACGTGCAAGATAGAACAATATAGTAGAAGTTTGTGAAAAGCAAGACTGATTCGATTTGATATCTGGAATTTTTAAACTTTTTGCTTATAAAGAAACAATTCGGTAATTTTGATTTTTGTAAATTAAGTTCATAAAAGTTACTTTATACCATATAAATAAAGCATATAAAATCACTTAATGTTAATATATTTCCTTCAAGATTTTACAATCATTTGCACAATAGTAACCAATGGATTCTTGAAGCATCGATAGAGTAGTGCAAGCGCTTGAAATATAAATATGTGTAAAATGTAAAATACTCGTATATTGTCAACTTAAAATTGGCACATACACTGTATATATAAAATATGATTGCTCCTTTCTTCCGATTTAAGGGAAGAAGTGTCGCCAACATAAAAAAAAAATACATTTCAAAGTGCAGCGTTCCGCCAAGCTTTTCTCCCGAGTTACTGTACATATAACGATTTCACCTAAGTTAAATACAGACAATCATTTTAAGTTCAATTTGACTTAGCATTTTCAAGTAAGGTTAATTAACTATTATATAATGAAGATATAAAAATATTCATCAGATATCTCTTAAATAGAAATCGAAATTCTGTTTAATTTAATTTACTTTCATTTGACTGAATCAACACATTTACACAAGTAAACACAATTCTGATGGATGTTCAAAATAGTCGTGTAATTTTACAGTTTGTTTGGCAGATGTCCTATGAATAAGGTTTTTACTAACTGCAGTTTTTGTTTTGTTTTGTTTTTTTTGTTTTTTTTTTTGTATATGTTTAATCCCAAATGTTTAATCCCAAATATGAGACCTGAAAGAGGATACCAAAGCATTATTTTGGAAAAAATAATTTATAATTATTTTATTTTTTAAGTTATACTACAGTTTGTCTTTTAGATGTCAAGGAGTAACTTACGGTAGCTCAGTCGGTAGAGCGCTCGTTTCGTGATCGGAAGGTCGTGTGTTCGAATCAATGCCGCGACTGATCTAAGTCGATAAAAAATAGGCAGTAACTGTTCCTTCGCCAAGCGAACTTTCAACTTTGAAGTGAAAGTTGCGGGTCTTTCGGATGAGATCTTAAAAACCGAGGCCCCGTGCCACGGTAGGCGTTGGCACGGTAAAAAAACCCTTACTGCTCAATGTCACTGAGTGCCGAGTAAAGGTCCAAATTTGAAGTTCTTCATCGGTATATGGTGACGTCTCTATATGAGTGTACTATCGCATGGTAAAACAAACTTAAGTGACTGAATAAATAATGAATACATATGTGACTTTATATTTACATATCTATAAACGATTTAAAAACCTTATCTATATATTTCGTTTTTAAATAATTGTCAGTAATTTAAATCATGTACCCTATCAGTTCTTGCATTTATCGAGTGTAGTGTTTTTTAGGTTTTGAGTTTATGAGGTTTGAGGGTTTATCGTGAAGACCGTTTATCCTATTCTATCGTGCGTATATTCTATCGATCGTATCGTTCACTGTCTTGTATCATGTCAAGAAAAACATTGCAGGTACTTATAATTTAATGATTAGTACCCTCTTTCCCATCAATTATGGAATTATATTGCTATGTTCTACCCAAGAAAAAAATAATCCTTTTTGACGACCTTGGCCTTTACAAAATGACATACATGTACCGGTACACGCCAACACCGTAGAAGACAAGAAATCACGGGTTTTCGGAAAGAGACCTTCAAATTATGTTTACTATGAACTTTTAATTTTTCTCACAGTCATGAAATCAGACTAAAACCTAATAATGACTCAGATATATCTGGCAGGGAGTGGAAATACAGTCCTAAATATTTAATCAAAAGCTATTAAGCAATAGAAAGGTAATTCTGATGCATCTTCAAATAAGCCAGCACGGATGACTTGACCCCTTACTCTGTGAACTAAATTTCAGTTTCGGTGCGGTGAATGACCTAAAGTTTATTATTCATACTATTTTCCTGGTGGATAATAACGAATAATGATTTATAAAGGTTCAATTTAATTTATATATACATGTATGTCCAACATAATCCCACCCTAACACTTACCTTTAACCAAGGAATGTAATTTTCATGATAATGATTCTTATGCACGAAATATTTTTGCTCAGGGGACGGCCATTTGATTTTGAGGAAGGAGGGGGGGGGGGCTGGCAAATTTTGGAAATAAATAATCTTTCCTCAAAAATATTGAAAATAAATAATCTATCCTCATTTGACAATAAAATTAATAATCTGTCCTTGTTTGGTGGTACTAATACCCCCCTCCCCCATTTATATTGTAAACTGGCGTAATTTGCTTAAACCTATTTACATAAAAGATAGTGATTTATCCAAAGGAGATAACGAGCGTGTGACCAGTCTATATATATATATATATATATATATATATATATATATATATATATATATATATATATATATATATATATATCACTGTAAAAAATTATGTTTAACTTGTGTTTAACTTTTAAACAGTCGTGTTTTACAATTAAACATGGTGGGTTTAAATACAAAACATTAGCGTTTAACATATAAACACGACTATTTAAATTGGTGTTCAATAAGTAGGGTGTTTAATCATCCATCTTAAGCACGCAATGTTCATATGCATCAAATCAAAAAATTAGATTAGGTGTTGCTTCTCAGTATTGCTTTGTGCATTTGCCATTTGTACAATTTCTTAATTTATGAAGTAATTCCGTACATACTAGTAGATATTTTACGAATAGCCAGGCAATACGTTGACTTTAGATCATACCAAAAGCAATTAAAATTAAAATTAATTTATGGTATTTTTGTGCCAAAAATTCATAAACTGTTAAAGGGGAAAGAGAAACATATATTATGATGACTTTTATAATTTTATCAATATTTTAATCACCGGTGTTTAACACGAGTGTTCATTTCTTAACCATCATACGTTTATACTGCTTTTCATTTATGAAATGCAGGAATGTTAGGCCTATCGTCTTAGTGCAAATGCGGCCATGTGCAGCGGTCGGCATAAAATATTTGTAGTCTTTAAGTATATTGCGATGTCTAATTAATTTGCAGGGATGTTCATCTCTTATTGTGAATCCTGAGAAGAATACATTACTTGATAAAGGAAAGTGATTTTAAACGAAGATCACACTTAACCTTGAGAGTAGTCCGAAATATCTGACTTTTTCCTGGTTTTTTTTTTTTTTACTATTTTTATATTTTACGTGCTGTCCTTGATAAAATTCATGCTCCCTATCACGCATTATTATGATTATTTGCTGACCATACATAACTTAACACATAAGCGCATGTATTCACATGCCCGCGCATGTATTCTTTAAGGAGACTTTACATTTTTGGAGAGCGTTATTTACATGATAGAAAATGCCTTGGGTAGCCCCCCCCCCCCCCTTCTCTTAATTGTTGCTGTTGGGCTGCTCCTGCAGTACATTGATATTTAATTTTTTAGTGTATACACTGTTTGTATGCTTATGTGATTTATTTGTATTGCATATTTTTATTTTAAACTTGTTTCTCAGTATGTATTATATAATTAAAATTGGCGTGAAGGATAACAAATTATTTTTTTTTATCTCAATGTATTCTTTTACAGATAATTTTCTGAATTTGCATAGTAAATATTTTTTATCTATCTATTTTTCAGGATATTTCTGATAAGAAGAAGGAATTAGAAATACTAAGGTTGAATAAAATTTTGGAGAACGGAAAACTGGAGATCATCATCCGTGGCAGAAGAACCTGAATTTTACACACAAGCAGAGGAGACTGTTTAACTCGGTTAGAATATTATATGAAATTTTGTGAGTGATACCACGGCAGCTCTTGTGAAGTTGCAAGAATAATTAATGAATTAGTCGTTTACAGATAAAAACTGGAAATTTTCTTCATTTGGTTAAAACTCTGAATATTAGTGAAAGTAAAATTATACAGGTACAACTGGATTTATTAACTGCAATACATACACAATGTATAGGCAATAAATAACATTTTCAGTCTTTTTGCATTATATTTAATTATGAATTTGTTTGTTTTATTAAAAAAGATGCAATGGACGCCCTGTCCCTTTTTTTAAAATAAAGTTTCAAAATTTTATTCTCGAAAAATAGTATTTCATTTTATTAAGCGATTTTCCTATTTCACCCCCCCCCCCTCCACCAATTTTATTGAATTTTAGATTTTAGTTCACATGCAGGTTTTACATTTTCATGCTAGTTTTTTTTTTGTTTTGTTTTTTTTTTTTTTGGATAATTCTATCTTTCAACTTGAATTGAATTATGTATCTACATGTGTGTGTTAGCAAATGTGTTGATAAATGTTATAATTGTTTATAAAGTTTGAATCTCTATTCAACATTAAGTCATTTATTAATTAAGCTTTATGTACATGTTCATCATCAAGAACAGTGTGTTTTGTACTGTTTTATGTTTGTTTCAAATAAAAATGTTGAAAATTTATTAACACGTTCAAGTGTTTATTTATTTTGTAAATTAAACACGTTGAAGTGTTTAAAAAATGACGTATAAACATGTTTAAGTGATTATTATCTGTTGCATCGAATAAACATGTTTAAGTGTTTAGGTTGAACGTGTTTATTAATAAAACATGAAATGTTTAAATTTTAAACACGCACGGTGTTTAGTTAGTAAACTCCTTCTGTTTATTTAGTGTTTAATCTTTAAACGTTTTGTGTTTTTGAAATGTTAAGTATTTAAACAGAATGAGAAGGAAGTATTTAAATATTAAACCTCATATGTTTAGAATTTAAACATTCTAACGTGTTTATTTCTTAAACACTTCACAAAGTGTGTAAATTTTAAACGTGTTAAAGTGTTTATTATCTGTGGCAATTTAATGTTTATTTTTAAAACACTTATTTTTTACAGTATATATATATATATATATATATATATATATATATATATATATATATATATATATATATATATATATGTATATATATATATATATATGCAAGAGCATGCTCTAAGTACGTTCAATTTTTAAACCTAGACAAACTACGGACAAATAAGTTAATGTTACAGATATTTCAACCATATCGTTGAAAGTTACCATTTCAAAAATTGTATGGTCGTTATATATGACCTTGTTTGCAAACACAACCAATCATTGGGTCGTATTTTGACCGACATGCTTCATATCTATTGTTAGACCATTGTTTTTATGCTAAATTTGACTACGAATTACTCCGTCTACCAGATCAATACATAGGGTTCACGGCGGGTGTGACCAGTCAACAGAGGATGCTTACTCCTCTTATGCACCTGACCCATCTTTGGAGTTTAAAGGGGTCCGTGTTTTATGCCCTCTTCACTAATTTGTACTGTTTTTAATAAGAATTTAGAGATCGATCACTATTCGTTGTCTTCACCTTTTTCAGGTATGAATTTTTCTCTGCACACAAGTGGGTCCACCCTCTGAAAGCTTTATAATTATTTCGGTCTCATTTTCTCTGCTTGATGTCCAGGAGCGAGGAAATCCATTTCAAAAGATCGCTAAAATTATTCAAAAAGTTAATCCTTTCGGTCCGTGAAAAAAAAAATCATCTTTCACACGAAGCAGATATATACCCTAATCAGTCTAGTATCTTCCCTAAAAATACTATAGTAAACTATAGTGTACTATAGTTAACTATAGTAAATCAAAGGTTCAAAGTTATCACAATAATAAATCAAAGTTTTCTAAGTGATCAATAAAGTGTCAAAGTTTTCACTATAGTAAATAAAAGTTATCACTGTAGTAAATCAAAGTTTTCAAAGTTATCAACATAGTAAATCGAAGTTTTCATAGTGATCACTACAGTATTTCAAAGTTTTTATAGTTATCACTATAGTGTCATGGTGATCACTATAGTAAATCAAAGTTTTCAAAGTTTGATTTACTATAGTGAAACCAAGCCCGTCAAATTTCATCAAATGATTCCTTTTTTAGGCTATTTGTGCGTATATAGGTGGCTCTTTTTTAAAAAATGAACATATTAATCAAAATATAAGTATTTATCGACATTTCATGTTCAAGAAATCGTGATCTTAAAAAAAAATTTCTTTCTCCACACTTTTTATTTGCATTCATTAAAGTCCCACGCACAAGCACTCCATACCGATTTTTCTTTTTAGCTCAACTCAAGAGTGGAATTGAAGGCTATTTAAAACCATTAAGCCTGTTATTTTGTTTAAATCACCTTAATCTCATATCAAATGAGAAAGGAGATGGGTGAACAAGGTGTGCAGAATGCCTATAACTTTAGATATGTTTAAATAATATTCAATTTGTGGATTTAGTATTTAGAGTAAAGTTCTCGTTACTGAAATTTATGAAATTATGATAAACAAAACTTTTTTTTTCAGCAAAAATTATTCTGTTATCAATAAATAATGTAATATTCGTGGGGTTCGAACCCTAGCAATGAAAATCATAAATATCATTTTCCTTTGAGACCAACACGCTTACCACTACGCTACACAATTCCTGACGAATAGTGGCATTTAAATCATGTTTGTGATATATGACCCTTGACTAAATGGACATTTTAAGTATTTCTCGGACAGATGCGAATGTTGTGTCACGAGTGTACTTTAAAAGTATTTTTACGCATACTTTAGGATAAACCTTCCAAAAATGGAGCGAAGACCCACTCATATCGAAAAATTGTATAATGGTGTGAGAAAATCATCATTTTTTCCCTCTCAAGTGTGTGTATGCTATTTTATAGGGAAATAATTTCAATCTTTTTGAGATTTTTGCAAATTGTGGAGATTTTACATAAAGTATACTATAATGTTCAGTGGCGTAGCTTGGGGTAGATGAATATGGAAGCATAACAGGGCAGGGGGTTTGGGGGCCGCCCTAAGGCCCCCAATGGGCCCAGGGGGCGAAGCCCCCGGAAGCTGATGGATTTTAGACAATTACAATAGGTAATTTCAATGTCTACAATATACATTTTTCTTCAATTTCGAATAGATTGATTAAACATAATATGCATTAACAAAAACAAAAATAGATTACTAGTAGTCGAAAATTGTAACTTTTTACTATGTGAAACAAACTATCTGGATGGTTACATAAAAGAAACAAATAAAATAATTGTAAATGAACGTACGTGTACATGTACGACTTTACCCATTTATATCTGTATCTTGGGAAAAAAGGAAGCCCAGTCTTCGTGTTTTCTTCAGTGCAAATGAGTCAATTACTTTGTCAGTGTCTATTGACCATTGTTTATAAGCGTGTAGCACTGAGAGACTTGAAAGTCTGAGAAAGCATGGTTGACCTGACATGAGTTTTCACTCGTCTCATTAGACTAAAACTTCGTTCTGCTGTCGCAGTAGCAACAGGCATAGTAATAAGAATGGATAGACAAATGAAAATATTGGGGTAGAGATTAAAATTGGTGACTGCCAATGTTTCTGATAAACTGGCTAGCTTGCAAGTGGGGTCTCTTGCCATGTCCCACTTAATTCTCCAACGGTCAACTTCCTCTTGGAATTCGACCACTGTGGTGGCAGTTAAATCGTCGTGGTAGCAGGTGAATATCTTATTCAGCATGTCATTTGTGAGGACGTGGAGGTTTTGAGGGATTAAGGTCTGTGCAGCAAACCTGTCCTCGTTCTTCACTAATCTACTTGTAAGCTCTTGGATCAGATGATCGACAAAAGGCAGGTACATTGCCCGTTTCCAGTATTGACTTGGGTTAACAGCAGGTACGTTTACTCGATTTACTTGGCGAGCAACTCCTCTGGGTATGACAGGTACCTCATTTACTGACGCTGCCACTACAGTAGCTTTGTGAAACAAATCATCCCAGTGCCCGTCCTCGTTTCGATTTCGTCTAAGTTGTTCGATTACAACTTTATTTTCAGCAACAGCCTCAATCAGATCGATTTCTTTATTCTGTAGCATGGCTGACAGTGGTACAAGTGGTTGTAGAGTAGATTGTACAACGACAAGTGAAACAATAAAATCGATTGAGCAAGCATATCCTCTGGCTTTGGAATCACCTTGTTGTTCCAGATCTTCTAAAGAATCAACCACAACGTTGTATGCTGATAAAAAAGTATTTAAAGAGTCAGATCTGCTGGCCCATCGAGTTTCAAAAAGAGTTTTCAACTTTTGTCTTCTGACCATTTCTTCCTTTACTTGAGCATTTGCTTCCAAGTTTTCTTTAAAAGAAAGCAACCTCTTAGCTGAGTAATCAAAGGCAAGGGCAATTGCTTGGACCGTGTCCATCATGTTTCTTGCAAGTGGCTCTTTGCTGGCATGTATTATGGCTAAGTTTAAATTATGTGCTTTACAGTGAACATATTCCGCTCTGGGAATCCTTTCCTTTATCCTCGCCTGTACACCCAATCTGATTAAAATACAGATCTCTTCATAGCGCAAAGCGCAGAGAGATCTGACAACGACCCATTGAGGGTCATGTTCCGTGACGTCAGAATGAACTTTATTATTTGCATGAAAGATAAATTTATTAACCAATCACAATACTCGTTACGAAGTTGGTTGTAACATTGTTTCAAAATGGCGTCGAAAGAAGAAGTATCAGCTGCGTTTGAAGAAATTAAAGAAAATTTTGGTTTAGATGAACTAAAAAGCGAGCAATTAGACATCCTGACATCGATTATTAGGAACGAAGATTGTGTAGGCGTGTTACCGACAGGATATGGCAAGTCTTTACCATACCAGGTAGCGAAGGGTGTTGCGAACAAGTTGGGAAAAGAATTCCATAAGATCATCGTATGCTCCCCGCTCATTTCCCTGATGCAGGACCAGGTGGCTCGCTTACAGAAATTTGGAAATGGTCTTAAAGTTATGTATAAAGGTATTAAACTTAAGGTTTATTCTCCCTCAACGACAGTCCTTCAAAATGTAAATTGATTATCATCATTCTTAATTTTGTTGCTGGTCGCCTTAGAGTATACCTGTATACTTAACAATATTTTAGAAGTTTAATGAAATTTATTTTATTTCCGGGGCTAAGTACTATAAAGCATTTTAATTTAAAGGATTTTTTTAAATATGAAGAATATGACCCCTAAATTGCCGTGCTGATCAGCATGGTCAGATATCTCCTTTAATAACATTGTTTGTAGTTACATAGAATAATATTATTGCAGTGATGTTTGTTTGCTCACTTTTTAATGACTGAAACACCATAAAATGTAGAAATCTTTGCAGTTTCTTTATATAATTTCAAAATAATTTTTTTCTGTTGGCATTGCAGTAATTAATATCACATGCCGGATGCCAAATTAAAATTTTATTCTGCATAATTCAGTGAAAAATAATGGAAATTGGTCTCACAATCAGTTTTTATAAAAAATGTTCCTTCAAAAAAATATATATTGTGGAAAAATAAAATTATGACTCGCTTATGGCAATATACTGTATGTAAAGCTGCAACATAGATGAATTTTTCTGTCAGTAAAATGATACCTGTATATTGTCCAACAGACCCTGTTTTACAATCATGACAATAGTGATTGTTTCATGTGTTGGAAATTAAAATATAACCACTTGTTAGTTCACTAGAAGTGAAATTTGGATAGAAACATATAACTTCTGGACATTTAGTTATTTAATTTTTAATCATTTTCAATTATTAATAAGGTCAAAAGGATTATTGTGCAGTGGAGGAATGTGACATCATATTTTCTTCACCAGAGCATCTTGTTGGGAATGATGATTGGAGAGGATCCTTATCGAAGCTAAAGGTCTCCTTAATAGTAGTTGATGAGTTCCATACAGTTTCTACATGGTAATTCATTCTGCACAAATGTTATATTTACATCTTAAGTAAAAAAATGTCCATTTATCACTCACTAATGAAACATTTTGAGTTTGCAGCATTTAATTTTTTTATACTTTATTTCAGGGGAGAACTTTCCAAAAATGAACATGAAAAGGTATTTAGGCGCTGGTTTCGTTACCTTGGAGAAGTAAGAAGCCTCTTTCCGGAAGCTTCCATGCTTGCTCTCAGTGCAACTTGTACAGATGAAATTCTCAAGGAAGTGCTTCAAGCTTTAAGTATGGAGGGTGCAAAACACATAATTGTTTCTCCAGATAAGGGTAACATCAAGTACAGTGTTTTCAGAACAGGTAGAACCATGGAACCATCTTTATTTTGGCTTATAGATGAGTTGCATGAAAATTTTGAACGTTTTCCTCGAACATTAATATATTGTAACAGCATTCAAGATGTCGCAAGAGTATTTACTTATTTTAAAAAGGAACTACCAGATTGCAGTGTTATAGAAATGTTTCATTCTGAAACCAGTGATAAGAAAAAAATGGAAATAGTGACTGATCTCAGTTCATCTGAAGGTGTTCTTAAAGTAGTTGTTTGTACCAGTGCTCTTGGTATGGGGGTTGATATAAAGAACTGTCAAAACATAATATTATATGGACCACCTAGAAATGTTGTAGATCTTGTGCAGATTGTAGGTCGAGCGGGTCGTGATGGTTGTAATGCCAGTGCTTTGTTATTATGTAGTTCCTACCAAATAGGACATGTTGATAAAAATATGAAAGGAATTATTAATGATGATGCATGTCGTAGAAAAAATATTATGAAACATTTTATGTATGCTGAGGTAATGTTTGATCAGGAATTGCATAGATGTTGTGATAATTGTGCTCAGAAATGTTTATGTAAAAAATGTGAAATGCCATATTTAGAAAGTTTATATATAGATAGCCACACTTTAAACACAAATTCACCAGATGAGAATTCAGAATCAGATAGTGACTAATATATACATGTATGTATAAACCAATTGTTGATATATTTGTTAAGATAGTTGTTTGTAAAGGTTTTCTTTAAATGATGGTTGACATCCAGAACTGTCAAAATGTTATATCAATACGACCACTTTAATTTTGTGCAAAATTTGTTTAAGCATGTTGTGATGGAAGTAACATGAATAATGGCAATGCTTTGATATTATAATGTTGTCATACTAAATATGTTGATAAAAAGACAAAAGAAATTATTGATGTGGAGATGTAAATCTTGTGCAAATTGTTGGTTAAGCATGTTATAATGGATATAAATCCAATTCATGCTAATGATTTCTTGTTGTGTTGTTTGAACTAAATATGACATTGATGAAAGAACGAGATGCATATTGTAGATGATGTTGAAAATTTTCCAAATGCAGAGATTATGTTTTACCAAGAACTGCGGAGATGTTTTGATAATTGTGCACAAAAATAAGCATGTAAAATATGAGAAGTGCCAGATTCAAAATTTAATTAATGTATAGTATACTTTTTTTTTCAGGAAGTGACAATCCACCTTCATTTTTTTTATACTCTCTGACAAAAAAAATTTGGCAAATGTATACATATATATGAGATGTAGTGAATAAAATAAATAAATATAAAATCAATTTTATAGCTTAATTCTCAACAATAGAGAGTTTTCTATCACAATATCAATAATCAGTGAAACTCTGTAGAAATTCTGGGAACCATCTTGTTTGTTTATGGAACCATGTCCAGAACAGAATTTTTCTAATGGAGAAATGCATGTACTGGAAATTCATTCTGGACACAAAGATTGCTCTTGTCCTGTAAGTGTCATGACTTAAATTTCAGCAGAGGTCAGTTTTGGCATGTTCAAGGGCACTGACATACATTAATAGGTATATATATATCTGTTTTCTAGTCATTGGAAATTAACAAGCAAATTCAAAGAATTGTGGTCCCCCGCTTTTGATGTCTTAGTGGATGGGATATCATTTATGGCATATTGTGTCAAATATGAACACCCTATCATGTCATTCAAGTAATCATAAAAGTTAAAAATATTTAAAATTAGGTCAAACATGATCAAGGGGCAAAAAATAATAGCATGCTTGGAAACATCTTTCAACATTTCAACTATGAAAGTCCTATCTCTTCTCGATCAAAAGTTATTTTAAAAATTTTTTTTGAAAAGTAGGTCAAGGGGTCAAAATCATAGTTTATTTGGAAAGGCATTGTTACAGGTAATGAACTTGTGAAATATGAAAGCCCCATCTCTTGTCATTCAAAAATTATGACCAAGGTTAAAGTTTTTGTGACAGACAGACGGACGCACAGGATTTAATGTCCCCTCACTTTCGTGAAAGCGGGGGACAAAAAATGAACACTATAGTATAGTAGAGAGGATTTGTCATGACCTCTCTGTGAGAGAGGTGAGTTGCGATTCAATAGGTGACATCCCACTTCAATGTATTTTATGTTTCTTGATGTATTTTATGTTTCATTAAGACCATCCTTGAAAAATTAAGTTTGATAGTTGCCAGGGGATATCAGACCCAGTAAGGGGAGATTTTATATTTTGCAAATTAGATTTTAAAGCTTGAAAGCTTTAGAGGAGGCAGTCATGCCTTTTTTGTTTAACACACATGATCTCCTTAATGTTTTTTTTAAAATAATCTTACATGTTTGCCTTTCCATTGTAAACAACAGAAACCAACAATTACCAGTCAAAATTTTATTCAAATGCTTCCAAAATTACCATGATTACAGCAAATTAACTGTCTTTAAAGGCTTAATTGGCTAACTGATGTAAGATTGACATTATTAGTTTATTAAAATGGTGTAACTGATTTTTATCATATACAGTAGCTATTGACCTGTATAATTTTTCACACATGTAGCAGATACTCAAATGAAGTCTAGAAGGAAATATGTACATCTGGTTTATTTAAGAAAAATAATGATTTTGATTGTAAATGGAAGCAATATCCAATTCCATTAAAGATAGGCATTCAAATCATTAACTAAACCAAAATCATAAAGAAGGATCTCAATTTAACAAACAAGAGGCCCATGGGCCACATCACTCACTTTAGTAACTTTGGCCATGCTGTATTTTACCAGATTTCCCCCTATTTAATATACCTATTGTGGCCCCGCCCTACCCCCAGGGGTCATGATTTGAACAATTTAGAATCTACACTGCTTCCATATAAGTTTCAGTTTTTCTGGCCCAGTTGTTCTTGAGAAGAAGATTTTTAAAGATTTTTCTTATATATTTCAATGTAAAACTTGGATTCCCTATTGTGGCCCCGCCCTACCCCCGGGGGTCATGATTTGAACAATTTAAAATCTACACTATCCCAGGATGCTTCCAAATAAGTTTCAGTTTTTCTGGCCCAGTTGCTCTTGAGAAGATTTTTTAATGACCCCACACTATTTTTGTCTTTTCTTGATTATCTCCCCTTGTAAGGGGACTTGGCCCTTTATTTTAAGAATTTACACTCCTCTTCACCCAAGGATACTTTGTACAAAGTTTGGTTAAAATTGGCCCAGTGGTTCTTGAGAAGGAGTTGAAAATGTGAAAAGTTTACGGACGGACGGCGGGTGATCAGAAAAGCTCACTTGAGCTTTCAGCTCAGGTGAGCTAATAAAACTATTAATCAATATGTGAGTTAAAGGTACATAACATTCACACTCTTCTATTTCGCAGTCTTCGGAATGGCAAGGATGGTTTATGTCGCAATACCATTAAAGGAAAATTTTTGAAGCTTAAAAAGAACGGATTTCTGTTCTGTGAAAGTTTTCTGCACTGGAATTGACGACCAGGTTGTTTTTCAAATGCCTGGATGGAAATTAATTCATTAACTACTATTTTCACATCTTCACGATATGATGGCACATGATGAAAACCTTTCCTTCCTCGAATATCACACATGTCATCAAAATGCTGTACACTTTCTACCAAGAAAGGGAAATCTTTGGAGTGTTTAATTAGGCTTTCCTTAGTTTGATGTCCAGTTGAGGCATTTTTAATCTCTCTATTCATGAATTCGACGTATTCGTCCAAAGCCATGTTCCTGTTCTTGCCACCTGACACATTTATAAACCTGTTCTGTACAAGTCTTTCTGTTTGATCCTCGGAAAGAGTACCTGACGTAAGACTCGTTAGATGGATGCTACCAATAAGATATTTAGTTTTACCTGTCTTATTGTACAACAGAGCCTCGTACTTTGCTGATCTAACAGAGCGAGCACCATCAGCCATATCTACCGCAGAATCCAAATTCTTATGTAAGGCACATAAACGAAACACTAAGAGAATGTAATCAAAGAGGTCATCTTTTTCTAGATCTTTTGTTGCTGTGTCTTTAGTTGACTCATTATATCCATGTTTGGCCTTTTCATGGGTTATTAATGAATCAACATTCACATATGACTTATCACAGGAATGGCATCGAAACCTTCCATCACTTAAACTCTTTGTCCAGTAGTTCTCTGGATGCTCAGGGTTGTCTAGTACAGTTCTAACTTCAGACAGTAAATCACTTCCTTCGAAAAACCATTTCCTTACAATTTTCTGACAAATTTCACACATCCAAGAAATTTTCTGTTCAGGTAACCACTCATGAAAGTCATCTGGAACAGGGATTGTTTGTGTTCCATCTGTCAATCCGAATTCTTTTAAGAAGAGCAAACAGCAAATTGCATCAAAAATTGTGTTGTACAGCATTTTGTATGGTCTATAAGAGTTCTTGACTTCTGCTTTTACTTCCCTCGCATTCAGTTTATTTCTGAAGAAGTATGCTGTGCCTGAATCCTTTCCAGACCCTGTACTGTAGGTTAATTTGACAATGGCCTGTAATTATTAATCAGTCATTAATTTCATGGACATGTACTACAGATTCAGTTTCATTTTTTTAATCACTCAAATCTAAAGCAAGTGAAAAATATACTAGGGAATATATTTACGACATCATGTAGCTAAAATATCATGAAAGAACTACCTCAAGAAAATTCATCAATCGATGAAAATCTTCGATCTTTGATATAAAGCCCTCAAAGCGATCTATTGCCTTCTCTCCATTAATCATTGAACACTGGGCTGCTTGTATCCTTTCATCAGTGAGTCTATCACCTTTGAAAATATCCAAAATTGAAAATTAAGAAATAGTTCTTATCTAGCCAATTCATTTTTAAATTATTTTTGCCTAAAAATACAATACACTGTTTTTTTTTTTAATTATTTACAAAAATGATTGTGGGAATATGAGAAAAAATCAATCCTATCAAATTATAATAATTTTAAAATGCTTTCCTTAACTCTTAACATATAAACAAAGTAATGAAAACCTTGATGTAAGTAATAAATGAATGTAAATTGTAGTACTTGCCTCCAAAGAAAACTGGTTCATACACATCATCATCCTTCATAGGAATATACTTTTCACTGAGGTCTTTCAACAACTTTATAACATCACCAGTGTTTTTTTCATCGCAGTCAAAAAGTCCCAAAGAAAACTGATGAAGATAAAGGTCAATGTCATTACAATATTTTCTATGCATTAATGTATACCCATTACCCTGTTGTAAACTTTACCTCCTAAAAATATATTCTATTGTACAGAATGTAAGCTTGTTGAATTTTGAAGAATATAAAATCAAATGGTTCAAAAAAAGATGTAAAATATTTCAGCTTTAAATATGGTATATTTTAGATAAAATATATTTTTAACCTGTTTTGTTTTTAATCCTGCAAGGTGACTGTAGGCATGTTCATAATGATCTGGATAAATACTTCTTAGCAAGTTATTCATTTGTTCGTTGTTGTTAATAACTGCATTGGCCACCAAAAAAGATATTTCATTTGCAAGAAGTTCCTGTTCTCCTGTACTTGGGATAAAGTCTGTAGCATTAAGATCATCTACATCTAAAATGTACATGTAATCATCACCTATTTGTTGAGGTACAACTCGGTCAATGACTCCAATTACATTAAATAAATGAACAGACACTGTTTTCTGCTGCGTTGTACGATATGATGGGACTATATTTCGGTCCCAGTTGTCACCCACAAGTTGATATTTTGGTGTTGGTAATCCCTGTGCCCAGTCATTCTTTATTTCTAGCAACTGTTTGTCTAATAACTCATGCCATGATTCCATCTTGATCCGTAGGGTCTGTGGATGTACACTCAAACCAAGTTTAGAAAGTCTTTCAATGTCCTAAAATATAATTACACTTTATGTACAATAAAGTATAAAACATTATGATGGCTACAAAGTCTTTTTAAATGTCAAAATATAATCAATTATATTATAATCATTATGATAACTATTGCTTAAATATAAATGAATGTTGCAGACTCAGAAATTCACATGATTTACTCAATGTACATCTGCATTAGTCTAGTTTTGTAGCCTTACCCTTTGAGTACAACTGCCATGTAACATTATGAAGCCTATCAAGTACTGGAGAGCGGTCATTTCTCGACTTCTCCCTTGGAGACATATTGCAGCTGCCAACAATGCATGATATAATTTACTGTCAGATATTGATACTGGAATGGGTGACACAGCTGCAGAGAACACTTTCAAAAGATAAGGGGCCTTAAGTTGTAATTCTCTATGCAGTTTGTCCCATGTAAACTGCATTATATTTTCATGGGTTTTGTCTCTTAGAATTCCTCCAGATTTTCTCTTGCAAATTTTCTCACATTCCAAACTTATCAAACTGGATGCTGCAGACACAACTGACTGTGGACGTATGGAAACTATTAATTTCAAAAGACTATCTTCAACGTCCTGGTCACGAAATAACACTTTACAGTACTTTTTCTGATATTCATCTACTATCCATTTTGACTTTGCACCACTTTGGAAGTAGTCAATCATCTAATTTAAAACATGAAGGAGAGACAGTTTTGTATTTTTCAATAAGTTCTGTGCCTTTACACAAAAATAAATGAATATATAAACTAGATTTCATACCTCAAGTTTAAAGGAAAACATTAAACCATAATAATCTTCACTTTCATAAAATATTTTTTAAAATGTGTATTTAAAAAATGCATACTTTAGCATGCTCAATATATACTGTGAATTTAAAAAATGAATTAAATCAACATTACACAAGCTTACCAAATTTCTGCAGTTGACACAAGAACCTGTATAAATTCAGCATCTGCTCAATGAATAAAAACATGCTTAACTAAAAAGGTAACACAAAAGAACATTAACAAGGAAATAAAAATTCAAGTTTTTCTAATGCAGTAAATGTTTGAGACAATAATACATATACTCCATATTATTCCCCCTCCCTTTTCTTGTTTATATATCAGGCTGCATCAAGAACATTATCCTGCATTGTTTAAAAGTAAATAACAGGTTTTTAGAATTATACTGTAGCAATTCAATGAAGTGTTAGTAAAAACTTTTCAATATGTAAATATCTGTTCCAATAGAGAAAAGGTCTAATCATGCTAATAGTGCATAAATTCATCCTACTATTATTATTATGATGAATTGAAACAGACATTTACAACAAGTTAAAATAACTTCAAATTTAACCACAATAGAAAATTTAACTTAATCAAAAATCTTACCTGAATTTTACCAATTTTATATGAATCCTCCTCCTCAGAGGAAAAAAGTGCCCTTCTGGTTGGTTGGTTCCTAGGTTCATGTTGAGAAGCTGTCAATACATCACACAGGGCAGAAGTCGCAAGTGGTACACCTACATTTAGGTAATATTCAATACTTGTCAATAGTCAGTGGTAGATTTTGTTTATTTTAACATGCCCAAGAACATGAAGAAGCAAGTTTCATTTTTTTTTAAATAAGCTGAATTTAACTTGAAAAGCATCAGATGGTATTCATTTTTATGAATGTTTTCTCATAATTTTACAATTACAACAATTTGCAAACATTTTAACACATGAGTCAATCCCACAGTATACCACTATCAGCAGATAATAAAATCAATTTACTTACATGAATACTGCATCTTGTTCATGGTAAAACCATCAGATGAAGAAGGCTTAATTTCAAATGCCTCATTTGGTCTGATAGCTGAAGTACAAGTAATATCATGGAACTTCTCTATCTTTACTGGTATAATAGCTGACACTGCAGTTGGAAATCTGACAATTTTTGTAGATTGTAATGAGACAGGGCTCCTCAAAAGCCGTTTTTCTGAAACACCCCGTCTAGGCGAAGGCAAACTCAAACTCACTCTTTCACTACTCTCTTTCATTTTTTCCGTTAAACTTTGTACTTCATTGCGCAACTTGATCACCTTCTCCACTGCCCTGTAACACTTTACACAGACGCCATTTTTCTCAATATCAGAGTTTTCAAGCGACCCTATCACTTTTCCAATGCTCTGAAGTCTGTCCTTAGTTAATTTTAATTTGACGTTTGTGCATTTCTTAACGATAATATTTCCAGCCCCGTCTGTCTCTTTCGTGACAAAACAAAACCCACATATCACACAAATGTTTCCGTGGAAGTAAATTCGACGAGGTGTTGATGGTTCTGTCATTCTCTCTAAAGGAATTAAAGCGGATAACTATACGCACTGTCATGACTGTGTCTGTCTTCGTGACTCCATGGGCGCCGCCATTTTTGCATTACTTCGGTACTCATCTAAATTTTACAATGACTATTGAGTTCCGCGTGCTTTACAAGATTACTTACAGAAAAGCGTAACTTGCCATCTGATTGGATAAATGAAAGTTCATTCTGACGTCACGGAACATGACCCTCAATGGGTCGTTGTCAGATCTCTCTGCGCTTTGCGCTATGAAGAGATCTGTATTTTAATCAGATTGCTGTACACCTCTACGAATACCGGACATACATGTATTGGCAGCACTGTCATATCCCTGTGCCCGCATTTTATCAACATGAATTCCTTTTTGTTCAAGTTCACTAAGGAAAAGCTCTGCAAGTGCTTCTCCTGTTGTACGTTTAGCCTCTGTAAAACCTAAAAACTCCTCTCGAACAGTTTTTGCGATTTTGTCATAAAAACGAACACATATAGATGCTTGTTCTTTTGTAGAACAGTCAGTTGATTCGTCTGAGATAAAACCGAAAAACTGAGCAGCATTGCAATCAGCGACACGAGTTTATGATTTTGTCAGCACACAGATCTATCATCTGGTGAAGTGTACTTTTTGTTTGGGTCTGCAAAAGCTAAATGATCAGCTAACACTTTATTTTCCTTAGCTCTCATTTGAAGAATAGCAACAAAATTGCTATCTTTCTCTTCATGGCCCCTGAGTGCTAGGTTTTGTTGACTACAAAGAACTATAGCATCAATAATGCATGAAAGAATTTCTCTATTTCTCTTTACCCTGGAGTTGTAACTGTCTGACATGGACTCCAAGGTACTGGACTTTTTGCCGTCTATAATGCTCAAGAACTCTGCTGCTGCTCGAACATTTTCATGGTGCTTACTACTATCTTGAATGTGGCGGGAAACACATCGGCCTAGGTTAGCCCAATCGTAAACAGAGGATGATATTCCAAAATCTTTATCTTTTGTATTAGTGCTCTGTGAACCGAAAAATATGCAGGGCGCACAGTACACTGCATCTGTGGAAACAGAGTAGCGCATCCACGGATTTTTCTCTAACCAGTTCCACTGGAAAGATCTTTTGATACCTCTTATTTCCCTAAAATATGTAAATAATGTTTCTAAATTTTAAAATGATAGTATGAATTCCAGACAACGATTAAAAGAGTTCTAAACGTAACCCTTTTAGAAATTTTATTTAATTGTAACATAAATGTGCATTCTCTTAGAATTAAATCTCAAATTACATAAATGTGCATTCTCTTAGAATTAAAATCTCAAGTTAGTCATGGCTTACTATATGTAGATATATTAAGGAAAATATGTCATTTTAGTCATTTTACAAGTATTGATCTACCTTAGAGGAAACTTAAACTTTGAAGCAGATTCCCAAACCTCAGTCAGCATGCATTTTTTAATATCATCTCTGTAAAGACGGTCCGAACTCAGGGTAGCAAAATCGTCATAGGGAGGCCTGTGATCGATATTGGCATTTGAAAAATTTGTAGAAGTGGACATGATTGATATAGGTACAGATTTCTGCAAAGACTTGCAGGATACTTGCTCTCCATGAATATCAGTTTCACTTTTTTTAGAGGTGCATTTCCTGAAATAAGACGCAATGTCCCTCTGCATTTTGGAACAAAGAAATTGTTTTGTTTCGTATAACGATTACGTCATGTTATCGATATGATGTCATTTTTATAAGATCCGGAGCCCGAGCCCGAAATAGAAAAAGATGAGATCAAATATTTTTACATTTTTTTCTGTTTTAATAATAATATTTAATATATTTATTTTAACTTTAATTTTCTTTAAATTGATCATTTTTTTCACGGAATAATGTGGAAGCACGTGCTTCCGTGCTTCAATGGAAGCTACGCCACTGATGTTAGATGTTTGTTGTTTAACACCTACTGCATTTAAGCCTTCCCAGAGAATATCAGCGTGTACTCTGTGCCTTCACTTCTCTGAACTACAAATGTATGACGTCATAATTGAAAATGACGTCAAGTCACTGCAAACTTGAGCTTTTATGCTGGGGAGAGTGCCATAAACTTTACACCTTCTTTCAATCTGCATATAAATTGCAAGAAAGCTAGTGTAAAATAAACGTGTTTTAATCTTTTTTTTTTTTTTAAATCTCATAAAGCCGAATATTTTAGATAACTTTGCTTTATTACTCTTGCTTAAAAGTCAGCGTGTTTTCAAAATGTATACGAAAAATATACGTAAACTTGACATTTACCCTTTTTCATACCCGTGGATAGAGGTAGAATTTATAATATGTGTATACAAGAGACTTGTGCAGGTGATTAATGAGGATTTATTTGAGATCTTTTGTGGAAATCTGTAAGAGAAGTTTCTTCTCTAACTGAATCTTGCTTGGGAAAAATGTGTGATGGCTTTGTCTTTGGGACGCAAAAACGTAGGGTGAATTCACCATGCATCGGACACCCTCGCACTTCAACAAGTTCTAGCGATATCGCTACCGACCGAATATTATCAAAATGGAACTTAACATGTAGTATGTGGTTAAAATATAATTTTTTGGCACAATCGTGCCCTATTTATTGAGAAAATATCATTAAAAACCGATTTGTTGCATTTTTATTACTATACACCCATTTCCAAACAGACAGAATTTATGACCTTGACCTCTGACCTCAAAATTAATAGGGTTCTTCTTTAGTCCATAGGGAGTTGCTATGCAAAACTTCATTGCGAAAGCTCAAAGGGTTCTCGAGATATCGCACGGAATCGAAAGTGTTACAGACAGACAGAAATACAGACGGACGGACAGACAGACCCAAATTAATATTTCAGTGAAAGCGGGGGACAAATATTTTGTACCAGAGTAATTGTATAACTTTTCCCAAGCACACTTCGGGTTCACAAGGATGCGACGAGATTATTGATGCGACAAAAAGTTAATAATAATTGTGTTAATCAGATGCGCCGAAGCGATTAATGTGAAACACTTCAAAAATTATAAATGACCGTCACATGATCAACGAAGTCATGTGATATCATTACAAATATGTTTTTATATAGCTAAGAGAACTTTTTTATATAAATTGGCCGTACTTAAGTACATTACTTACAATTAAAAATCAAAACCGATCTTGCAATGCAGTGTTATGTTTTGAACGCATTTAAAGCTTCGGGAAGCCTTAACACTGCTGCGCGGTTTATACGGTCTCATCCGAAGGACCGGTCTCCACGTCCCGCAGTGGATTCTAACCCGCGACGTAAGGATCAGCTCCTTACTCCGCGACTCTAGGGCAGACGGTCTAACCACTGTGCCACGCAGGAGACTAAAGTTAGATGAAATATAAAAAAAAATGTTATAATTGAGATTTAATTTTTCACGTTCATGTTTGTCGCACTATAGGCACTTCGTTCGCATATAACATTAGCACAACTTGTTCTGATCAACGGATGCGTTTACAGACATCAAAAATGACCATGCATTCGCTTTTTAAAGACCACTCCTGGTGTTGTTAGGTTACCAGATTTTCTTAGTTGACCATTGATAGACGTTGTGAAATGTATGATGCTTTAGAACTTATGAGCAAAAGTTTCTTCTGTGTATGATCAAGCCAATATCAACTTTTTTGGTATTTAGTATCTATGGATTATGGGGTAACTGAAATTGTGAATTGAGTCCTTCCCGGGGAGGTGGTTGGACCAAAACCATATGAATTTATACAATCTTAAAAAAAAATCTATATTCCTGGGCGGTTTGATCAAACTGTATGCATGAATATGAGTAAGTTTGTCTTCAACTAAATGTTAAATTTTACCTTTTTTCATCTAATTAAAAGCGCAATCTGTTCAAAAAAGTTGTTAAAAAGTTGATTTAACCAATGATTAGATAATTAACTTTTCCATGATTAGTCAAACTATCAGGTGTCATTAAGTTGACGTTATTGAAAATGAAAATGAGATATGCATAGTACTTGGATTTTGATTTTTGGTTTTATGAGAAAAAATAAATTCTTCTTTTCAAGGACAGCAAAGCAATGTTTAATCATATTCATATGGAAGCATCTTGAGGTAGTGTAGATTCATGTTCGGACAAATCATGACCCTCCTGGCTAGGGTGGGGCCACAAAGAGCGATTAAATTTTTATATAGGGAAATTCTTTAAAAATCTTCCCAAAAACAGCAAAGTCATGATTCATCATATTTACAGAGTCGCATCCTTAGCTTTGATGCAGATTCAAGTTTATTCTGTTTAAAGTTTGATCCCTGAGCTGGGGTAGGGTTGGACCACATCAGGCGATGAAATTTTTACATAGGAATATAGGGAAAATCTTTAAAAATCGTCTTTTCAAGAACAGCTAAACCATTATCAGTCATATTTATAGGGAGGATCTTCTGGTAGTGCAGAATTAAGTCTGTTCCTATAATTATTACCTATAATAAGCACTCAGGGCCATTGAGAAGTGAGGGTTCTATCAGCTATCGTGCCAACGCCTACCGTGACACGTGCACGGGACCTCGGTTTTTAAAGTCTCATCCGAAAGACCCGTGAACTTTCACTAATAGTGCCGGGCGCTTGGCTAAGGAACAGTCACTACCTATGTTTAAGTCTTAGATTTGACACGGCGCGGCGAATGAGAATCGAACCCGGGCCTCCCGATCACGAAGCGAGCGCCCTATCACTAGGCTACCGTGACCGGTCGAAATATATAGAGAAAAGTCTTTTTCTCAAGAATATCAAAGCCAAATTTAGTCATATTTATATTGAATCATCCACAGGTAGTGAAGATTCAATTTTATTCAAATCATGACCCCCCGGAGGTAGGTTGGGCGATCAAAGGAAAATTAATGTTCTCAATAACTGCAAAACCATGAAAAGTCATATTCATGTGGAAGCTCTCTCAGGTAGTTTAGATTCAATTTTGTTCAAATCATGACCCCCGGGGGGTAGGGTTTGGCCACAATTGGCGATCAAGGTTTT